GGGTAATCCAGATTATGATGAAAAATGGAAGACAAGGTCGAAACTAGAGCGATGAAGGGGGAGAAACTGCATGAATCAGTGTTTCCAAGGTGAAAAAAGGCTTCGAAAAACCGTTAAAAGGGGGGCTGGACGAGAACGAGACTAGAAGAATGAAGGGGAGTGGGGCGTTTGGACGAGCTATACAATGTGGGTCCTGGTACGAATAATAGACTATGGTAAGCAAAAATTCAATCACTTATAAGCATAAGCTAACGAAAAAAACCCTAGTAGCAGCAAAAGTAGCTCACCTTTTTCAGCCTATAGGAGTAGGAATTAAATAAGGGATCGTGGCAGCAAAAAGAATAACAAAGGAAAAAAGAATGGGAGNTGCCAGTTCACGAGTAGTTTGATACGGATCGGCTTCCACCTGGTTCCGCACCACTTCCAAATCCAACTCCATTGAGCGTCCCGGACGGTCTTCATTTTCGATGAAATAGTCGTCCGACGTGAACTTCGAGTGCCACTTGTAAATTGTGCATCTAGTAGGAGCAACCTCCTTGTAAAGTTCCTTAATATGTCTATCGATCTCCGCGGGTTCTTGGCCAGATAAAAAAAGAAATAGGATGGTGTTGCGAAGGTGGAGTTGCGATGGCTTGAAATCATGGGGCATGTTGCAGGAAAAGAGACAGTTAGGTGTATTTGTTAGTATGTGTTTGGAAGAGCTTTTCATACCCTACCTAACCAAGCCACGCATGTCCATGTTATGGTCTCCAGAAGTCATCGCTATCTATTTGTCCAAGTTTTATGGCCCAACCTAATACTTTCAGACGACTGTGACACTCTGATAAGCGACCATGAGTGTGACTTGCATCAATTCGGAATTCGGTCCCCAGTCTGACCTGACCATGAGTGCGGTAGCGCCATCTGCACTGAAAAGCTTGCTATTCAACTCAATCATAGGTCACAGCTCTTGATATAATTGGGTTAATCAACACCGGTGACCAAAAAATCCGGTTCCAGTCAGCACCGTACTAGTCGATAACAGGTGGAAAAGTGAAAAACAATGATAAGGCCATTCCTATTTTAGAAAACAACACCCAGTGATTTTTACTCCTATATCTTCAGTTTTTGAGATTAATTGGAAAAGAAGTTCATCTATCTTTCATAAAATCCTTTTAAAAGATGTTCACCCTCATTCCTATTGAGAATCTTGGTGACATTGGGCAGACCCAGGCTTCAATCCCCGGGCTATATTTGCAGTAGTCTACCATTTGACGTTGCACCATCTTTGCCAAAGCGTATCGTAATGGACCAGCTGTACCACCCTACCACTGCCGAGCCCATTCAACTTAATAACTTAATACTTCTTGCTCATGAACTACTATACAAATTACACTAAGTTTTATCATTTTAGTAGGTCCATTGGTCTATGAAGTCGTACAACTTCTATTACATTCATTTCTCTATCGCCGCTTTCTTTTCTTGAAATTTCCAGGCCAACGATGTGGGTGATTGCCGTCGTACTCCTCGTGGTCATCATTTTTGCAATCAAATGGATAAAGAAAGTTCGTCAATATCCACCAGGTACTACAAAGTATCGAGTTTTGTTCGAATCTATCTAAAAAATTTAAAAATTTCCACAAAACTACTTCATACTGCATAGTTCAGTCTGAATTACTACAAGATCCCTATCATACCAATGGCTCTCATGAATACACCTAAAGTGGTTCGAACTGAAGGCTATAAAAGCTATCGCCATTTTACTGATGGGACCATTGGAAACTTGTTTTGAATCAGTTGCCAAACATTATTTTTCGATTAATGATTGCTGGCTCAAAACCAAGGTTAATATAAAAGTTCTCAAAGCAGTACATATTCGCCAGGGAACCAGGAGTTCTTTTTTTGCAGTTTTCCATGATCTTTCTGATTTTAATTTATTGAAGGTCCATTTCCATTGCCTTTGATCGGAAATATTCATAACATTATGATGGCGAAGCTACAAATGAAAGGAATAATTGATCTCATGAAAGTGTGGCAGAAGGTTAGTCAAGTATATCAGTTAACTTCTCAAAAAATATCAACTACTAATCTAAAACTTTGAACAACTTGAAGGCACAGTTCACGATAATTTTGGGTAATCCAGATTATGATGAAAAATGGAAGACAAGGTCGAAACTAGAGCGATGAAGGGGGAGAAACTGCATGAATCAGTGTTTCCAAGGTGAAAAAAGGCTTCGAAAAACCGTTAAAAGGGGGGCTGGACGAGAACGAGACTAGAAGAATGAAGGGGAGTGGGGCGTTTGGACGAGCTATACAATGTGGGTCCTGGTACGAATAATAGACTATGGTAAGCAAAAATTCAATCACTTATAAGCATAAGCTAACGAAAAAAACCCTAGTAGCAGCAAAAGTAGCTCACCTTTTTCAGCCTATAGGAGTAGGAATTAAATAAGGGATCGTGGCAGCAAAAAGAATAACAAAGGAAAAAAGAATGGGAGAAAAACATCGCCTCATCACTCGGCGATTAGCTGATTGTGCGTGGGTCCTAAAACGAATAGCTGCAATCTGTATTGTCTGGACACTCGTCTGACGTGATGACGTGACATCGATCGAGAGGCGGGAAAGTCATTGACGTTCCCGCCCATTGAATTATCGTGAAGTGTGCTTTTAAAATTGTGGCAAACGAAATACTGTAGTCTTTTCCTTTTAATTCAAACTTCAAGATTTTGAGAAATTTTTGCCGCGTATTTATTTTGAACCCTTCAAGTTCCCTTTATGAAATCCAGTTGGGTTAGGCTTCCCTAACGACTGCATCACAGCCAAGGAAGCCTTGAAGAGAGTTGTGAATTTTCTGATTTAAGCACCATCCTCTCGACTATGTATGGGACCTATAGGTGTGTTGGAACCTGAAATCAAGTTTCCGCTGAGCTCCTCTAGCTCCAAAATTACAGGAAAAATGACTTATATACCAGTTTTGTAATGAAAAGAAAGTCACCTGACAAAATACGTACTCATTTCAACACCACTACGATTCTAATGGAAATCACATTTGCCACCGCACTCTCAAGATCAAGGTGATCAAAGTCAGGGTGATCAAAATCGAAAAACTTCATCAATCCTAGACTTTTATTAGTCTTCCTTTTTTGTAAATTCACTTCAATAGCCTACGGGACCATTTAAGGAGTACGGTAACGTAATCACTATCTGGTTGGGACCTGTACCATCTGTTCACATACTCAACTTCGAGACAGCAAAAGAGGAAATGCTTTCTAATGGTGCTGCTTATACTGACCGATTCGTACCATATATGCTGGACGTGAGACGAGGTAAGGACGATTGGAACCGCTCTATAGCTGAGATTAAATAATATCTTCAGAGGGAAGAGGTACAGCATTCTCAAACGGCGAGTTTTGGGCCGATCATAGACGGTTCACTTTACGAACATTGCGTGATTTCGCGCTAAAGAATAGCGTAATGGAGGAAAGAATCATGGATGAGGTCCAGTCGAAGTTAGTGTACTTGTAAAACTACTACACATGTGAAACTCTTTCTTTCTTACCTGAACTATGGTAAAGTTGTACTTCGAGAGGGGAGGCAAAACTCTTTCTCTGGCCAGAGGTAGTTCCAACTTGCCTCTTCAAGCATCTCAGTAGTTTTGAGGCTTGTGGAATTTCAGTGGTAATCAGTCGCTTCCACTCAATTTTAGCCTTTACAAGCTGGAAAAAATGATGATCAATGGGCAAGCGACAGTAAAAGCTAACGAATTTTT